TTAAAATCTCATAACATCAGCTTTTCATTTTCCTCTTGGATGTTCTTCTCAGAGAAGGAGAACATGTCGTGTCTTTCAGGCATGTCCTTTCCTAACAAAAATGACAGGAAACATAAAACATATTATTGCAGAACAAGTGTGTTATTTATGAAAGAGGTGTGTTTGTGTTTAGGGGCTGTTATCATTTTTTAATTGTAATCAGATTATGAATGAACAGTATGAAATTCATCAACATTGAAATATATTTTATTATCAAAATAATATTTAACTGTTACAAAACGTAGTGCAACTGTAGAAGCTTGCTCTGTTATCCCACTGAAGGAATAACTTTTACCACGTTTTTACAGACAATATTGAAAGATAAATAGTAGCAGTTCTCACTATGTGTTAAATAGCTTTGTCTTCAATACATTAAATTAGAAAGCTGACAGTCATATTGCTTGTTATCATCTAAATGTAACTTTTTGCATGGAAAAAACCCTCAACTTCACTGATGTGTAGGTGATCTAGTATTTAGTATTGTTTAATGGAATGTATATCAGTGTATTAAAGTCAATACTTCATTTATTTAAACCAATATCTTTCTTGATTCTTTGTACAGTATGAAAAAAAGAGTCTTTGTACCTGTGCTGAAGTTCACTGCTGTGAGGAGTCCAGTTCTGTCTCTCACTCTGGTCCAGCCTGTCTGCATCACCTGGACACCTTAAACAAACAGATATATATGTAAAGTACCATGTGTACAAACAATATAACTTATTATCTTCTGTTGAACATGTTGGATTGTGTATTGTCCGAGTCAGGGTCCTTTTTATTTTACTGTAACTTTGGAAGTTGTGTTACCAATGCTTACTGTTTATTTTATATCAATTTGGTAATACAATTAATAAAAACAACAAGGTTTGGGTTCGTTCTTCAGATGACTGTGACGTTAACGTGTAAGCTCAATAATGAACTCCAGCTCAACCAACCATATTGTAATATCTAAGTAATCATCTTGAAATATGACATTAATAATTGTAATATACACACATCTTATTGTGAGGTTGATTTCGCATACACTACTTCGACGTTAGCTAAATAGAAAATAGCATGGATAATTTACAAAGGCTTTAAAAACACAGCAGGAGCCCAAGACAATTATAAAACTTGTCATTATTTCAGTACAGTTCAATTGGTTTTATTTTCATAAACGGTTATCAACCGTTAGTAGGCTATAATATATTAATTACTGCTGTAGACTACTACCACTACTTTTTTAGCTAGCATAAACTCAACAAAGCTAGCATTAACTGGCTAACTGACGTTATTTTGCCGCTAAACTGCACGATATAAAACGGTGGTCTTCAAAACGGATTTAATCCTCAATCATCAAGTTACGTATTGCGTCGAGGTTTCGGAGCGTGTGTCGAGCATGGATGTATAATAAGAACTGGATACAGCGTGGGAGGCGGGGCCTCATTCATTCCTATGAGAGTTGCTCATTAGCGCATGATGACAAAATGGCCCAACTTTTGAGAGAGTGAAACGTCACAGATTACCCGGCATGCCTGAGAAGTACCCGTATGTGCACTCATAGAGCATGCGCAACTTTAACCAAAATGCTCGTTCACATCAAGCACGTCAATTTGCGTACACGTAACAGCACCGTGCGTGGATTTGATATTAACGAGGCGGCAGTTAGCAGCTAGCGGCTAGCTAGTAATTATGCTAATGTGCACATCAATCGTTATGTACTAATATTACGCTGTAACAGGATCTAGTGATATCCAACAGAGCTTCATTTAGCATGAAATAATTATTGCATTGTATATACACACACACAGTGCAATAAGCTTCTTAGTAAAATAAGAAGCTACAGGAACGTTAATCTAACGTCGGTAATATTAACTTTATTTAATACAACATTTACGGTACAAGATTTACATCATACAGCCCATGTAGTATAATATTTTACAAATGATGAATTACAGCAAACATGTGCAATATATCCATGATTACAGCTCCGTGGGCAGTAAGGCGATATGGTCCGTTGTTATTGTGCATCCATGGGTAAAGAGAAACATGAACATGAACGTGCCGGGCGGCGCGGTCCCGTGGGTTAGATGCGCGTTCATAATGCAGAGGGAAATAACTCTCAGAATAACGTTATTAGCACATTTTTACAACTTGAGGAACGAATGTTTTTAATAAGGGCTATACAAGTGTTCATACTGGGTTGTTTATTTAGTTTAAAAAAAATTATCCAACGAGTTACAGACCACTCTTTCCCAATGTAAGTCAATGGGAAAAAGTGTTTCCGGGCCCAGCAACCTAAAGGAAGTGTAGTACCGCCGTTTGGCCACAACGAATATTCTCATCAGACTCCGGCGCACTTCCTGGGGGCTTGGTGTCGAGTAATCCCCGAAGCTTTAGTTTTTGTGAAGCTTGTATCAAGGCTTGTATCGTTTTGGGCCAGTGATGTCATCGATGACAAACGAAGACTCTGTCACTACCCGATCCGTACCCCTGCCCGATCTGTACTGCGCATGTGCGAGATGGTCCGCCATATTGGAGAACTCCGGACGGCAACCCAAGAAGGACACTTGACACAGTGGCTTTTGGCAAAGCTGAAAAATAAAACTCGAGAGAGATGAGTTATTGTTATTACAACGTGACTTCACTATTATTTAACAACTATTTTTATGGGATTCTTTTATTTGGGCATACATTCACAGTAAATATTTATTCAGTATGATATCTGTCTAACAGAAGTTAAATTCATTTCTCACTTATTCTGACAATGTACTTAACCCCAAATAAAAGAACCCAATAAAAAGAGTTGTTAAATAATAGTGAAGTCACGTTGTAATAACAATAACTCATCTCTCTCGAGTTTTATTTTTCAGCTTTGCCAAAAGCCACTGTGTCAAGTGTCCTTCTTGGGTTGCCGTCCGGAGTTCTCCAATATGGCGGACCATCTCGCACATGCGCAGTACAGATCGGGCAGGGGGACGGATCGGGTAGTGACAGCCTCGCTGCCTGTCGATACCACGTGACTGCTTCAGGAAGCGATTCAGATCGGTTGAACCGTTGAACCACAGCGCTCATAATACCCATGGACGTATAATAAGAACTATATTACCCCTCATGTACCCGGGCCCGGTGACACGATGGAATTAAAAGAGCTCAGACCCTCACTTATATAGAGGTCGGAACATGTCATAAGTATAAATAGATACACAAGCATCAATAAATGTAGGAATAAAAACATGAATAAATACAGGAATAAATATGGTGCAGTGTTGTCAGGGAGATTCAGCGTGTGTGCTGTGGCTCAGCTGGAAAGCAGTTGACTCACAACCGCAGGGTCCCTGGTTCAACGACTCGTCAATATGTCTTTTTTGTTGTTTATAAAAGCTACAGCTAAATGAGATAATGTAGTTAATAAATGTATTCTTTGATGTGGTTTAGGCTACAACATGGTTAAGTTTATGAATATTATTAAGGAATACAAATCCCTCTTTGCAATGTTTACCAGCCTCCTTAGGCTTTTCAATCAGTCATTCAACTGGAATAAAAACAATATTGTTAACGTGAACATATGATTTAATGTTCGTTGTTTAGAGTTATTCTAAAGGCTTTACTCATTGGGAACTCGGTATGAGATACAGCACACTGTTGAGATGTCTGCCTGTTTTACACACTTTGACCAACAGAGGGTTTGTGTTCAAATGAAGCCTCATGAGATGAACCCTTTTGCAAACCAATTGGCTGGAAAGCTTCAAAGCTTCGTATGGCTTCATCTCGCCATCACTAAATAATAATATTCAAAGTAATACTGGGCAAGTAATGGGCAAAACTTACCGTTGATTGACGCGCCATGTCAGCGGACTGGTAGCGACACGAACCGTTAGCCCCGCAGTCATCCGCTTCGACCTGACTGGCTGTGTGACTGACCCGAGCCTCGTCATTCTGATAGCTCCGCCCCTTCGCTCCAACCCCCCTCCCTCCCCCACATCTACAGGTGAAAATTACTTTTGCGACACATTTATCGCAAGAAGTGTAGCAAAAGTCAAGACCGCAGATTCGTCAATTTATACTGCCACAGAGCAGATTCGTCAAGTTGTAATGACTGATTTGAGAGGTTGTAAAAACCAAGTTGCAGTTGTAATGGAAAATATATTTAAAAAATATGTATTTTTCTGCAAGTGAACATTTCATCACTAAGTTCATTTTTTTCCTACAAACTACAAAATGTTTTTTTTCTTCTGTGACTTCAAATTTGGTTCACAGTTACGTGGATATTTTATACAAGTGTAAATGTATGCACACAAGCTCAGATTTTTTTTTCTGCAAGTGCTCACATCAGGTTTTACACGCTCTCGCATTTTGCACCATATCTACCTTCATACTAATAAAGGTATTCTGATTCTGATTTATGTGTGTGAAGAAGCAGGAAATAAAAAGGAACTCACCTTGTGGTATAACCGGCGAGAGAGAAAGCCTTTGAGCTCCATACTGTTTCAGAAATATTCCTTGATAATCCATGATATGGCGTTTCATCACTGCAGTATTTAGTTTAGACAGTAGCTGCCGGGTCCTGCATGAGCTCAGCCCCCTCCTTTTTTATTTGTTATCAATCTTTTTATTTTTTTAAAGCTTTATTCCCAAAATCAGCACTTTTGAAACAGGAAGTGAAATACAGGGATATGAGGCATGGCTAGAATGGGTGATCTGTTTGGTATTTTGAGCAAAACACTTCATAGCCATGTTTTTTATATATCCAGGTCTATTGCCTAAAAATAACATGATAGGTGACCTTTAAATAAATAGATACACGTCAGGCTATAACTATATTTCTAGTGGACTCAAGATTGCACCACTAATTGTGTTCAAGTTATGTTACTCATGTGTCAAGTCAAACATCATGATAAGGGAAAATGCTAAAATCAGCTCCAATCAAACCGATTTCATCACTGTGGGGAAAAACAATATTTTGATGTACTTGTATTGTTTTTCAGAAACCACAGAAGGAGTCTCAACAAGTGGAGCGCCGTCACCCCTCCAGCTCGTTTGTCGACAGCGTCATGGTTGCACTCACAACAGAGACACTTCCTGGATCAGGTACTGTAGCTTACTGGGTTTTTGAGTCAATTATAATTTAGTTCATGACTCCACAAGAAAGGCTTGGTTATTTTTAAGAATGAAAATATTATATTTTCTCATTAAAGAAGCTTGTGTGTGTTTTTTTTTAAAACCTGAACACAAATAGCAACTTTCCAACTGAAACAGTAAAGCTGGTTTAACCAATGCTGGTGGTCAATCTGAGCGTGTCAAGGTGCATTATCCAACCACGCATTATAATGCTGTACCCAACCTGGGTTAAAAGAAGTCACTGTGCGTCTATCTGGCATGAGCACCAATTTAAATAAATGGAGTTCAATGCAAGTGTATTTAAAAACCCGAACAGACTGACACCCAGAGACACTCGTGACTGTTAAAACAAGATGCTTCTTGGTAAGAGTGCTTACAAAGAAAACATTGATGAATCCCAGAAATCAAAGAAATCAAAATCAAATCAAAACATGAGGACAAATCGTAGTTATGAACAAAAGTAATTAATATTTTCTATATCGATTCGCTTCATGCATGAGAAATGGCATCTTATTACTCGAGGCAATCGGAAATCTAACTCGTAGTTCACTTTCTCTCCCGTCCCCTCAGACATGGCCGACCCACCGTGTGAAACTTTGTTTAGTGAGACGAGTGCCTTCACCCGCATTGCAGCCGTCACGCCTAGAAAGAACAGTAACGGAGCAGAGTTCGACCCCGAGGAGGATCAGAGCAGCGTGGCGGAGCTGCTGGTTGATCTGGGCAGCACCGTCACAGAGCTGATCAGCAACACGAAGCTGCTGCAACAGCGCAAAGACGCTCAGCTGGAGGAGCTGCACCATACCATGTGAGTGCTATTATATTCTTTGCAAGCTCTCACAATATCTGTTTTTTTTTTTTTTTTACTGGACATATTTTATTCCATTTCTATGCAAATACTGCTATATATTTTTTTATGTTATTATAGTTTTCTTAAACTAGTTCTCTGTGTTTTTTTTGTTTGTTTTACTTTTATGTATGCACCACAACATCAAGGCACCTGTTTCTGATTTATATCATAATTAAATCAAATTAAACTAGCCCCCAGAGATGGCAAAAGTACGTACCGTGTCTATGTGGTGGGGAGATCAAGATGGCCTTTTCATATGAGGCTTACATCATGACCAATACATTTAGGCCTGCAACTAACACTTGTTCAGTGCATCGTACATATGTTTCAGATTCCTCAATTAACTGCTCTGTTATTAAGGGAAAAATGCCAAACACAAGTTTCCTGATCTTTATTTTTTTGACTTTTTTGAGGATTTTTGTTTGATAATGATTTGCATCATTATCAATCTATAGAAAATCACTTTTCAGTAGTTTTGATTGTTTGATTAATGAACACATTGTTCCATAAGTAGATCTGTGTCATGTAGAGAGTGTGTTCTGCTGCAACTATTTGACTGATTGCAATCAATTTCTCAACTAACCAAATGTGAAAGACAAATCGGGAACAACCGATTGATTTATTAAAGGTCTGCACTTCATTAAGATTTTGTAACTTTGTCAGAGGTTTGGCATTGATATGGTCAACCCCACACAAAGAAGAGGTAATGCTAATTGTGTTAATAAATATCAAGGTTTCTGGATTTACTTTCCTTTAGATATGAATTGGTGGAGTTGCCAAGTTGTCTTTCATATTGAACATATTGGTGCCGTTTTTATAATTTATTTTGATAAAAACCAATAGGGTTCATGCATGTCATTCTTCTTCTTCAACATTATCTGATGCATTGTTCCAGCTCTGGCCTGCAGGTGGAGCAGCAGGCTGCAAGCAACAGACATGAAGCCGAGGCGTCTGCACTGAAGCTCCAGCTCAGCCGTCTGAACAGCCTGTTTGAGAGAGGAAATCAGGCGCTGCAGCAGAAAGCTCTGGTAAGTACTACTGGACTTTAACTTTGAAAACGGGATACAAAAGAGCTCTGCCCTGTAATTTTCCTAAAAATGTTTCTCTTTTCACAGAATGAGAAAACTGTGACAAAGTTGATGTCAGAAGTTCAAGAGACCCAGGAAATTCTAAATAAACACAAGACTGAGAGCAAAGTAAGGCACATCATCCATACTGTATATATGTATATTGACTACCTGTGAAAGAAATGCTGGTATTAGCTTCAGCTGGTGCGATGGATGTCATCATTTTTATGTGGGCAGATTCATAGTTAAAATCAAAAAGGGGGTAAAAGGGATCCCACCAGCCAGGAAGGACAATGGCACCCTTTCCTTGGACCTTGATTTTATCATTTGAATTCAACCCCATATCTGTAAAGTTTCATGACTGCCCCTTGCACACTTGCAATGCTATTGCAGTGACAAAAGTCTTAAAATGGAAATACAAACACTTGTTTTTATCATATACATTTTTGTATTATTTCTTAAGTAGCCTACTCCATGCTACAGTTACCAAAGTGTCTCCAAAACCACATTCTGACACACACTCAAAAGCTGGAAACAATACTAGTTAAAAACCAACTCAGAATACACTTGATTACATTTAACGGTTTATTTTTATTTGTTAATTGTTCACAGGGACTGCAGAAGGAGGTGGTTGAGCTCCGTTGTTCTCTCCAGCAGTCACAGGTGGAGGCTCAATACCTGCGGGTAGAGTTGAAAAAAGCCGGTAGCCAATCAGCTAACCCGGCACAACAAATAGAAGAACAAATCAAATTGTTAAGAGAGGTATGATCCTGTCACTTATGCTCTGTGAAATGCCAGAAACATAATAGTTTATTAGCCTTAATTTTAAGCTATAGTTGAGCAAACACATCAGGTTCTCTTTTTTTATCTGAAGGTGGAGAGACTGAAGTTGAGTGTTCAGAAATTGGAGGAGGGCAGAGTTAACCTCCTTGAGAGAGCAAAAAGACATGTAAGTATCGTCTTGTTACTGTGGTATTGACTAATGTCACTGCATAAAAGTGGCGTTATTTATTATCTGGGACAAATATCAAATCTATATGTCATTATGTTGTAATGTCGCTTGCAGCAACTCATCCATCTGGGCAACCAGCAGAAAAGTGAAAATGAGCTCCAGATGTTGAGCAAAATGATCAATAAAGTCAGAGAGGTGAGCGATGCTTTTCATAATGCTTGTGTCTTTTTCTGTACATGAATAAATGCTGTTTGTGTATTGGAAGTAAAGAGGGGTTTTAATTTCTCCACACAGACTTTGCTGTCTTTGCCGGTGGTCGTGAAGAATTGTGAACAACTCCAACGGCTCATTTCATATATCGGCTGACATGTTTGTTATTTTAACCTGTGTTCATTGTATTTATATTCATGTTGTTTAAGCTAGTCCTGGCTGTGTTTATTCATATTTTCAGTATGATATATGTTATCAAATAAATGATTAAAATGGGATTATCCTTGTTGTGATGTTTTTTTTAATTTATTTCAAGATTAAATGCAATGACAACAATTCAAAGTGTTTGTCTTCTTTGTGATGGCGGCAAAAACATGTTAACATTAAAAAAACACACAGACATGTTTTGCACAATTTGCTAAAAGCAGTTTTGCTGGACAATAAGTTTGACACATCTCTTCAAATGTCATACCGTACGTCAGAGTCCTGCACGGGTCTGATTTTCAAGACCCGCTCCCGCCCCGCACCCGCGATGTGCAATACCGAACCCGCCCCGCTACCCGCACATATTGCCAATCAGTTCCGCAAACCGACCCGACCCGTTGGCACAAGATCTGCAACCCGACCCGAACCCGCATAGCCTATATATGAGCAGTGAAAACGTGCAATTATTAACACACGCAGTTGCATATTTGTCTCAAAAAGCGTGGGATGTTGGTTATTTTCTCCATCTAGGATGACACCAAAAGCCTCCCAGACGTTGGATTTCGCTCTTGAGGAAGTGTTATTGAAAATGCTGTATTCTCCGCTAGAGAGCTTCACCTCAGCCATTTCGAATGTGGCGCGCTCAGCAGCAGATTGATGCGCTGCAGAGGTTATGATTATGCGCGGTCCCGCGGTGGAGAGGTCTGAGGATTTAAACATTAAACTAAATTATCATTATTTTAATATATTTATTATGCAACACCCGCGACCCGACCCGCATCATCTTTGTTTTACCCAGAACCGAACCCGGAAAAAAGCGTTTGAAAAAATACCACCCGCGAATCACCTTTTTTGCGGGGTACCCTTTGTTTTAGCAGCAGTTACCCAGTATTGAGTAAAAGGTAATAGATGATGGCTTGAACGTAATAACGATAAATGATACAACTTCATTCAGAAGATGTCATGTCGGCCTGCAGTGTTCATAAAGTATCTGTCTTCAAATATATATTGAATCCGCCCCCCAAAACATTTAAATAAATTAATCAGTAACCGTTTGCAAAGGTGCAATCCTAGTGTTATCATTTACAAGTGATGTTGATTTAAAATGTGGATCGATAGGGTGCACACGTTTGCAGATTGTTTCCACAGTAAATGTTATCATGCTGTTATGTTGATGTTAATGTGGTTTGCCAATGCTGGCTAGACCAGAGTTTGTTAAAGTCTCTGTTCCCCTCTTTTGGATATATTATTTGTCTAAACATATTAGCTAGGCAAACTGTGAAAATCAACCAATTACTGATATTCTAGGCTACCATTAGACCACAACAGAAGTGAGTGTTCATCAAATAAAGCTTTGTTGCGGATATCCCCTGTCACCTGTATCTTGAGTTCAAGATAACAATTTTTCTTTTGAAATTATAAATATGACACTTGCTGATTACTACTATTCTTAGTTGATCCACAAAGATTTAAACATTCAGCGGCACTCAAGAAAAATGAAGACCCTTTTAACTATGGATACTTTGTTGGATCAAAAAACATCTTCCCTGTCAACGAAGCTTCTTTACTGATAGAAAAATCAACTATCTTCAAGATAATGTAGCGTTTCCTAGCGAGTCCCGTCTTGTCAGACATGCAGACTTCGAGTGAGGAAGGTTTCTCATGTTGAGATAAAGGCCTCAAAACGACTTAACTTTTTCAGGCTGAAATATCGAGTTACAAGTCAATTCATTTTCTTGATTAGTGGATCTGTGTGGCAGATTAACTGTGTCTGCCTGTCTAAGTGCAGCGTTGACATCTGGACATGATAATTGGGGCCCGGTCACGCCGACTGGAAACACTGTGGCTCCAGACAACACTTCAAACCAGCTGAGCTGAAACAGTGAGGAAATCACGCAAGCACAGAAAGAAAAACATGTTCGAGTGTGTTTTTTTGTTCCTGGAGGCAAATGTCTGGATCTGTTTGTCCATGTTATTTTGTAATACATCATAGTTGATGTATTACAAATATAACTAGGAATTAAATATGTGACAAGCCTTAAGTACCCCCTTAGGTATTATACAAATAATTCTGGTTGGATTTTTTGGCACAATTGCTGAAATTGTAATAGCAATAAAACATCAATAGTTAAAATATTTTATTCTTTAAGCCAAAGTGCTATATCATTCTTTTATTTCCAAAAAGGCAAACTAATATGCATTTTCATTTGGCAACAAAATACATGCAAATGTACTAAAGCTGATTCAAGTCACTTATTGCTAAACCAATGACCATGAAGCAAAAATAATTTATACTGATATTTCAGAGTCTGTCATGTCTCAGAATTAATGTAAATATTAAACTTGCACATTCAATTCATGACATAAAAATAAGCTTTCAACCACACTTGACATTAGATACACTTTACACTCACATGCTGCGTAGAGGCCTTGACATTTAAATCCACATTTATAGCATCTAGTAATTTAAAGTAAATCATCATCAATGGAAAATGGGGTGTTGGGTTAATGTAATAAATCACAGTTCTGTAAGGTGAGGTTAATCAGTCTTTTCAATGTTGCCCTTAACAAAGGTCATTAACAAAGAGAGGAACCATCACGATTGTGCGCATAGTGTCTGGCTCACTGGGTGCCGTCTCAAGTCTCTGAGGGTTTTAGTGGCTCAGATAGCAGACACAAACCTGTCCATATTCCCTGGATATGTTGGGTGTTTCAGGTAACCCCCAGTGTTAGCAATAGGCCCTGCAGCACTGTTATACTGCGAGAAAGAGCCCAGCTGAACGGGGGACACCCTGCCGTAATGGTCCACGGCCTCCACAGACCCGTGAGCTGAGGAGCGTCCAGGTGCTGCGTACCCCTGGCTGTGGCCCTGTGCATACGCTGCCTGGTGTGTGTGTTGGTGTGGGTGGCCGTTTGGCCCGGAGTAGGTGAACCCCGGGTGGGTAGAGGAGCGTGATGATACAGCCCCTCCGCACGCTTGACTCTGAAAAGCCGCTGCTCCCAGGCCGCAGTGACTAGACCCATTTGGCAGACCCTCTGGACTGAAGCTGCGGCTGGACTGCTGCATCACCTCTGACCCCTGACCTGCGAGCATGCTGGCTGGACTCTGGTGTCCTATGAGGTGGTTGATGCTGAACGTGCGGGGTTGGCCAGGTCCAAACCCAGGAGGAGATGCAGAGGGGTAATAGGCAGAGTGCAGCTGCTGCCCGTACGTCGGACTGACTGTCATGTTGTTGTAGACAGAGTTGGAATATGAGGCTGATCTGGCAATCTGCACAGGAGAGAAAACTGGTGTCTCATGCACATATGAGGTGTAAGTGTTCATGTCACAGCGCTTAAACCTCTTCCTGCGCCTCAGGAAGCTGCCGCTCTCGAACATGTCCTCAGCGTTGGGGTCCAAGGCCCAGTAGTTGCCCTTCCCTGGCCGCCCGGGCTCTCGGGGGATCTTGATAAAGCAATCATTGAGAGTCAAGTTATGGCGGATGGAGTTCTGCCATTTCTTTGAATTGTCTCTGTAGAAGGGGAAGCGCTCTGTGATGAATTTGTAGATGCCCCCCAAAGTCAGCTTGCGGTCAGGGGAGTTGGCTATGGCCATGGAAATGAGTGCGATGTAGCTGTAAGGAGGCTTCCCTCGCTGCAGAGGTCTCTTCCTCCTCCGACCTCTGGGCCGATCCTCTGTCTGCTGCTGAGTGTTGGACGCAGACGATTGTGTGTCTGCTGGAGAGCCTTTCTCCACTTTGACCACCGGCATTGTCATGAACAGTTCAGATATGTCCCTTAAAAGTCAGATTTTAAAGTGAACTTACTGCAAAGGCTGCACAGTATTAGTACTTCCACAGTTCAGATGAAGTTCCCTCTGTCTGATTTAATCCTGGGCTTCAAAAACAGTCCTGCACACAATCCTGCTAGAAAGATCACATTTGTTTACAACAACTCACGGTCTTTCGGTCCAAATCCAGCAGCTCTTTAAGTGCAAATCATACACTTTTTCCCAAGAGCTCGTGTTTGAATAATTGCTGTTCTCATTCCCACAGTTTGTAGTCAGGTGCAATTAAAGAGTTGTGCTGCAAGAGTGCCATGCATGTTGCTTAAGGTGTGTGTGAGAATGAGTCACTCAGCGTTACCTGAAGAGACATTAGCTCCACCTGAGGGGCCACACCCCCTGAAGCATCACATGCTCTTGACATACCTCAGCTCTATAAGGGTCTATTGTTCACGTTTGACAAGTCTGCATACTTTCTAGTAAACATTTCTATTTCTAGAGTGTTGACCTTTCCTTAATACAGCTGCAATAAATCTTGAAAGTTCTGAAATAGCAAAAGGATATTTACTTAATCAGAATATAGTTTTTAAAAGTTGTAATGGTTGTTCATGAAAAAAATACCCACAGGATTTTCAGTGTTTACCTTCTATTATTATATGTATCTAATCTAACTATCGGACTTAAGCTATGCAGAGCTATTTTTTATTATCACAGACCAGAACAGTAAAATCCAACAATGTTTCCTCTTGATATTCAAATACCATTTAAACCTGACCTCAGTTTACTTTAAAAAGTCAAAATGATCCATGTTGTTTTGATGTTTAACACTAAAATACCTATTTAGTGGTAATTTAACCTTCATGTTGTTTTTCTATCCTGCTTCCTTGTTTGTTTTGTGCCAGTGGTTGGACGAGCCAGCTGTGTTAAGAGATGTAAATGTTTTCCAGACAAAGGCCGTCCTCTGATTTCAGCATGCAAAAATATAGGCTATCATCATAAATCCTGGACGCAACCTGGGAGACGGGAATAACCAACTCTCCACATGTGAATTGGTCAATGAGATTGGTTTGGTTATGAATGTCTCTAAGGAATGAGTGATAACATGTGCTGGACATGTTTTAAAGTCAGTGTCATAAAAGTTTGTTCTTTATTTGAGTCTATTTTTGCGGTATATTCATTCAATTAAAATGATCAACCACATTCTTAGATAGTTTAATCTGTGAAAGCTCTGTTTGAAAACCGACTTTAAACACTATTACATTTCACAGGCACCAGTGATGGAGACAATGCTGAAGGTTTGAGCAGCTCTGG